CCTGTGGATATATTGCTGTGAAGGAAATACAGGAAATAAAGGAGATACTGCATTGGGACTAATATCATTAAGGATATGAGGTGGAATGGAATTTTGTGATGGGAGATTGAGAGCTGCATGGCATAGGTATCTTTACAAAACGAATAGGTGTCTTGCAGAACACAACTGTATCTCACACAAGTGGTTTGATGCTTCAAAACTGTTTTTCTGTGATTGGCTTTTCAGTATGGATGTGAAAGAATTCTTGTCTTATTTAGTGTACGTTTTGATTTGCATGGCAGGCACTTGACGTAGTGGATGATGTAAGTTAAAATCATTAGTCGATAGTATTTTGTATTCTTTCAACTTGAAGTACCTCATTAAGTTTGTTGTTTGTCTGCTAATGTGTAATTTCTATATTGTTCTTTGTATTGTTGTGTTTTAAAGTACTGCATTAAGTAGGTTGATACTGGGGAAAGGTAGGGAGAAGACTTGCAGAGGTGAGATTATTTCCTTTGGCAAGTTAGTGGTGCAGAACAGGACATAGAACTCAGTCTTTAGAAGTACTTAAATAGTGCTTTAGTACTCAAATAGGCTAGTCTGCTTAATCAGTATTTGTGAAGCTTACTGGGCTATTACTATGCAGTAACAGTCTTTGTTACTTAGTCTTTGAAATTACTTTTCCTTCTATTGGTAACAATAGGCTGCCATCCTCTGGTGAAATTTGTTAACTGTCTTGCAGGGACCTGACAGATTTTCAGAAGAGAGAAGCCCATTAAGTTCTGGAAAGCTTAGACAGAATAAATACTATTTTTTTTGTTAGAGGAATGTGATTAGTTGTACAAGGAATAAGTAGTAAGAGAAGACTCTCAGAAGAATTTATATCATGTGTCACTTTCTCCCTCTTTCCTTTTTTCTGTAGCGCCTGTGGAGAATGTAAAGGTGGAGTTAATTTCTTGACTGTTTTTCTGCCTGTCTGCTGATACAGTCCCGCCTTGTTCTTTGGAAAGACCATTGAACACGGATGTGTTATCATTAGTTAGCTATTATTCAGTTAATGTCACTTCTGTCCATATTGAGAAATTATTGCTGAATCAATGTAAGGCACATTTTACATTGTAATGACTGTATGTCATTGTGACATCCACTTGGGTTGATGTTAAAGTATTCCAAAGATACAAGGTGTGTGAATTATTAGTTACTGCCCACAAACGCTAGCTGAAGAATGATATCTGAAAATAGTGGAGAGTCACTGAACTTATTTTTTTCTCTTAGGTGACAGACATCCTATGAATTTATGTGACGTGATACAGGAAATTCCTGTCTTTTCTCTAAAAATAACTCCTACAGGAGACATAATGAACCATTTGATACTTACCTGCCTTAATGCAAAATTGCCAAGGTAGTTTACGTCACAGATAAAATTTTTTAAACTTCAAAGCTAGCTGAATTTGCGTTAAAGATGATGAAAAGCTGGGCAGTTGATTAAATCCTTTAGAGGTTATTTATTAACCATGAGAATGGAGGTAGTATCTTTGGAACAGTGTTGCAGTTTTTCTGTGAATGTTATATGTATCTATGGATGCTGACTGTAGAAGGAGTTTCTCAGTCGTAATGCCTGGCAAAGAGGAAAGCGTGAGACAGCCAGAGAGTTTTTTTAAGGCTTTGGAAGGATAAGATCAAGACTATATAGCCTTCTACCTCATAGGACTCTGCTACATTTTTACAAAGCTTTCCCATTATATTGACTTCAGTAGTGGACCTAAAATTTGGTGAAACTCTTATGAGTGTACTTGTAAAGAATTCTTAGGTTTAGAAAGTATTAACCATGCTTTCTAGCGGCTAGGACTACTCTGCTAAAGCAAAGCCCCAAGGAAAGTTTCAGATGAGGTCCAAGACAGAGTACACTTTCTGGACTGTATAGTAGGATCGTTAACTACCCTCAGCCAAAACTGCTTGCCTTTAGAGACCAAAAAGTCCAGTGGCCACTTGTCTTACCTGTGCCTGGTGGTTAGTCATAGGAACATAGGCATTTTGAACAAAAGCAAGAGGAATTTTATGTTATGATGTGGCAACCTACTCACCTGTGGGCCTTTGTTATGTTTGGAAATCTTACGCAAAATGCAGTTATGAAGATTTACTGAGAATATAGGTGATTGTTTCCAAGAGCTCCTTGCTGCTGAGTAGTTTATTGCCAGTGGGTTGGTTGAATTGGCCTACTTTAGGGTAGAGAGGTGTAGTCTAACAAAAGGAAGCAGAAGTTCTACGCACATTTGGACCTTAGTCCATCTTCTTAAATGTCTTAGTCTTGGCAGATGCAGTGTTCCTGTTGCATAAGCTTCAATTAGATAAGGAGTTGTTTGCTTTCTCTGTTATATTTCCTTTTAATCCTTACCACTAAATTAGTGTAGAATAATGTACTACATTACACTGAGTTTATTCTTTTAGTTAAACTGCAGAATTTGAATCAGCTTTCCAGTTTAAGTTGTCATTGCTGAATTGGTGTAACTAGTATAGTGCGAGTGTTTAAGAATACATTTAAACTAGTGATTCATATAAATGTAACCATATTGCTGTTATCAATTCTATTCTTTTTACTACTGTTGTACTTACTCTTCGTGCTTTCAACTGAAGATTTGGTTAATGTTCACCTTTACCCCACTTACTCGAGGTGAAAAGTGGTAACTTAGTGTTCTACAAAGTAGGTTAAAATTTTTTAAATTTTCCTTCTGTTTTTCATTCTTGACCTTTTTGAGGAATCTTTTTTGGCTCTTGGTTACCTTCCGGTCAGCTACAAGTTTTCCTGCCTCGTCCTTTATTTGCCTTTCCTCTATATTTTTGATAGTAATGTTTATAGGCAGTCAACCTTTTGTAGACCATTAAGGACTTCAGCTTTTTAGCTGTAAATAGATAAGAATGGGCATTTATTTCAAATCTTCACTTTCTACTTGGACAGTTAGTTGTCATTGACAATGCTTTGTCTCTCTGGTATGAGGTAATGAGCTGTTTGTGGTAGTACAAGTCAGGGTAGCCTATGGTTAAGAGAAGGCTGATATTTCCTAGAGGGTATGAATGTGCACTGGGGCTGTTACCATGAAGTAGTAGGTGCTCCTGCTTGAGTATGAGTGTAAACATTTTGTGTGATGATGATTTATGCTAGGGTAAATGACTAGTCTGTGTGGTGTGCTATTCATTATGTTACTATGCTGTTTCTTTCTCAGTTATTTATTTCTGCCCTTGTTCTTTTCAATGTTCTTCCATGCTCCACATAAACCTTGTAGAAGTGGCTTAAAGGGTTGACTGTTTCCCTCTGTAGCCCTGTTGGATTTGTTACTGTTGGATTTATTTCAAGTGGAATGTATAGAGAGGCTCAGACTGTCTTTGCTGAGAATGCAGAGTTGCAGTAAAAGCTCATGTGCGTTCTCCGTACTAACTGTACATCAACAGTTCTGTCATTCCTAGGAGTGTAGTAACTAATTACCTAGTGGGAAAATGTACTTTATTCTGTGTATACATCAGACTTGTCTTCTAATACCAGTCTATGTTTAGAGATCATAGCTCTTCATACATAAAGACATAGCTACGGCTAATAAGTCTGTGATATAAACTAGACCAACGGATGAACAATATTAACTACTATTTTCAGTACTGAGCACTGCTTTCCCTATGTTATTTGCTAGGAAGTGCACGCCTTAGAAACATCTTCAGAAACCACGAATAGAAAGGTGCTTGGTGATATGCAGTTTTGTTTTGATTTTTGTGTTCTGTTTTGGTTTTATTCTGCATTGATGTGTTTTATAGAAGTTCTGTTTGCAAAAAGTGTTCTTCAGTAAAAGCATCTCCTGGCCCGCTCTCCATCCTCTCCCTGTGGGGTTTTGGGTCTCAACAGCATAGTGGGGCTAACAGAATGTTAAATGCAAAGAGACCAAGCAGATGAAAAAGATCAGATGTTAGAATTGATGCTTATTGCTTTGTGTACTTAAGGAGGTGGTAGAAGGGCTGAGAGATCAGTAGTTGCTTGATTTCTGTGTGATATTTTTTCCTACAACTGGTCTGTGTCATTTCCCATAGTCACTTCAAATAAAGCATTGGATTTTTGACTTTGTGAAGAACAGCAATGGTAAATGATCAGCAAGGTTCGTAGATTTCGAAAAAGGAAGAATAGAGAAAATACCTAGAGACGAGTCAGAAAGGTGTTTGGTTGTAATCTCTGAATGTTTTGAAGTGACCTGTCATGTAAGCAAGTATACAAATGTAAGTATTCTTTAAGTTTGTTTAATTTATTTTGAATCCCAATAGCAAATATACACTAAATAGATATATCAAATATCCATTTTATACAGTACTGTCAATATGGAGAATTCTGTGTGCTGACCTGTGTAAGAAGTCAGGGCAGCTGAGTTCCAGCTATCTGCTTGCATTCAGCAATTTGAAGGTACTTATGAGGGATTCTTAACCCGTGTGATGTCAAAATGTAAAAGAGGAAAAAATTAATTGAGAAACATGGTTACAAGTGTTATAGATAAAATGTTTGTGCTGGCCTAAAGGGAGTTTAATAATCATTCCTATTAAGCTTGAAGCATATGATAAATCTTGAATCCTACTTTTTAATGTTCAGAGAGCATCAAATTATATTGACAGCAAAACATTGAAGGACATTTCCCTCTTAAAGTTGCAAGAAAAAATACCAAAAACTTTTAAAGGTTTTTTGCGTGTTAGTACTTGATATGAAACCAACCTTTATCTTAATAGGTTATAAAAATATGTTCTAGTTTGGAGACTAAAGGCCTCACAATACCACACCTTTCTATTGTGTCTTTGTTGATTGTCACAGATGGCACGAGAAATTCTCCTTGTTTTGCAACTTTTCTTGCAACACTTTTTGGAAGAGGAAAAGTTCCTTACTGTGGAAAAAGTCACTTCCACTTGATTTTTAGAATTTATTTGAAAGAAAGAATATGTCAAAATTTACGTGATTTAAGGAAAGGATTTAACATCTGTAATGGGAAACATGAAATACGGTTTCCAGTTCCACTTCCAAGAGTCCTTCCATGAGATACAAAGACTTTTGTTTAAATTAGTCAAATGTAGGTTGAAGATTGTCAAATAATATAATGGATCATACTAACATATTGTTTCTAGTTAATTATCTCTGAAATAGTAAATACTTCGTAAACTGGTTAAATAGTGTAAAATTGTCATTTTCCTGCAAATTTCAAGTATTGTAGAACTGATTTGCACAAGTTGCTTTTTGAAATTACCAACTTCAGTATCACTTGAGGAAATTTCCAAGTTGCACGCTGTTTCTGGCTAAAATGCAACGGAAAGTTGAAGGCTGAACCTCCCAGTACTTTACAGGGTTATTGAAGAGGCTTATGCCGCTGTATAATGCTTTCTTCTTTCTTCGTCCTGTTGGACAGAAATCATTCACTCCCAGTTTTGCAATATGATTAGAATGAAGGAAGACCACCTGCAGCAATAAGAAACAGTTAAATGTAAGAGTTAGTACATAAATGGGAAAAATATCAAAACATTCATTGGCATAGAGATAACTGAGGTTTGCTATAATACCAGTTGGATGCAGACCTTAGTAGTAACAGGAATTAAAAATTTTTATTAAATCTTTTAAAAATGTCTCCCTCTTGCCACAGTTTTCCCACAAAAAAAAGTTATATGGTATTTTGTCAGTGTGTTGTCAGAATAATTTGACTCTGTTCCTATAGAACATTTTCCTAAAATGCAGTTTTATGCTCTCTTACAGTAAGAATTATAATGATGCAGTATTATATTCTCTCATAATGCAAATTTGCTGTGATTCTAATCAGATTAATTTTTTAAAATAGTCTCTAGAAAAGTTGACTTTAGAAGAGATTTGTCGTTATGATTATAGGAACAGATAAGTCTAATGCTGATGTAGCTTAAATTAGTAAAAAAAAAAGGGCTTGTGATAGTAGAATTTAGAATTAAAGCAAAATAACGTACATTGGCAGAATTATTATTTTGTTTGTATATCTAATTTTACATTACACTGTAAGTTGATATGTTGGATTTTTGGTGGTGTTTTTTTTTTATTAGCACATATATGTATCTCAAAAGATTTTACTTTAACTGGAAGTGAAATGGAACGTGGAAAGAAGTGAAATTCAGATGTAAAAGCTTTTACGAAATAGCTTATATGTTCTGTCACCTGTGCATTTCTTCATGTTTCCCCAAGCTTTGTTCTGCTCTGTATCCTAAGGTATGTCCTAAGACCTATTTGATTTTAATTGCTATTACAGAATTCAGTAAATAAATGTATTTTGGGAACATTTTATTGCATAATTTATCTAGTTCTAAATACAAATTTTAAAATCTTAATCTCATCATTTCAGCCTTAGAAATCATTTTCATTGGATTTAAGGCTTTTCAGCATGGAAATGGAAAAATTTCCATTCTGGCTTGCTAATACGGAAAACTATAATAAATCTGTAACAAACTTTCTGAGAACATTTCATGGGTGTAGCAAGTTGTTTTCCTTTTTTTTTTTTTATAGGAAGTGTTCCTGCTGTTGGTTCTTGTTTATTTCCTTAAGTACATACATGATTTCAGACTTTCCTCGTATGAAAGTCATGTCAAAATATATGACAGTTAACTATGCTTTTTAATTATGTCCTAAGATGTACAGCAGTGTGAAAGTCAAACAACTCGTAAAAACCAGAGCTTTCTATTAAATTTAATATATTACCTGCAGATATTTCAGTTCGGGTAATCCAGGAGGAACTTTCTTGAGCTTATTTTTTTCAAGATGGATTTCACGTATACTTGGTATGTTGGCAAAACTTCCATTTTCCACATCTTTGATTTTATTATTCCCAAGGCCTAGCCTAGAAATAGTACAAGGAACATTTAATTCAAGATTAATTGAGATTCACAACAGCATTGAACAGCATACTTCTTTCTTTAAAGTCTGAAATACATAGGGGTAGACATAGGGGAAAAAAAGAACTAGGGAAGGATGATGAAATCCTAGCTCAATAAAACCCCATCATTGATCTAACAAAAATTTTTTCTTCGTAAATTAATCTCCTCTTAAAGGACAGCAGGTAGCCTGATGTGAGCAATTGTCCAGTTATGCATGCAGTTATTCTACGTTTAGTGGCAAGAGTCAAAATGAGAAACATCAACCAATCTGCTTGTAAAATAAATCATGCCCTTTTATCAAGTAGTAGAGCTACAAAGTGTACTCACAGTAATAAAAAGTGTTGTTCTGATAGATAGCCAAAGAAGAGCAAGTCTTGTAAAGAAACATATATATATAGCTTAGTCAAAAACTTTGTATTTTAATAATATCAGGACTACCTGCTTTCCTACTTCCACTTTTCCTTAATTTAGGCCTTCTTTGTATATTTTTTTCCTGTAAGACTTCAGCCTGCATTGCTAGGAAGATGATTCAGAAGGCAGAGGCAGAGGTCAGTTTGGAATTGCTCTTTCCACGCATTCTGCGATCCCCTTTTTCTTCTTTCTTTCTTGATTTCTTCAGAAACTCAACTAAATGCAATTCAGTAGTTCCTCTTTGATAGTAGTTTCTATTACCAAATCCAAAATTGAGTGCTGCCCAGTCATATTTTCAGAGTACTTAACTGAGCTTTGCAGAAAGAACCTCCTTCTTTTGGCTACCTTGGTGATACATTTCTTAGAAACCTGCATTTTTTCTTAAACCCTATCACATTTGGAAACAGTTATCAAGTTGTTTCCTTTACCAGCTGCTGTATTTCTCTCAGGCTAGTTTTCAGCAGGTGAATTTGTCTTCTATTATAATTCACCAGTTTCCCCATGTGTTTCTAGAAACAAGACTTAAATTTTCCTTTTCCTGCCATCCTTGTATATTTTTTCTTTTGGATATGTATGGAGTGTCTCCTTTCAGTACACTTAGGCCTCCTCTGGAATAAAAAAGGTATTATGACTCTTAAATCCTATAAATTTAATTGCAAGAAAGGCATTCAGTTCCTAATACAAAAATCAGTTGGTGTTGCTGTGTACTTCATTTTTGGGGCATGATTTGTGAGGTGAGTAACCAGGGAGTTAAAGTACCTGGGCCTGGTAGGGAACAGGCCAGAGAAAAATACTGGACACTGTTGAGAAATAATGGGACCACAAAGGTTCACGTATTCTGAGGATGAAAAATACATGCAATGCTTAATTGAGGCATATTACTACTAGCGCATTAAGAGGTATTACATAAAAGCCATGCTATATTATACAGCGCCTGGGTGCCAAGAGGTAAGAACTTATGATGATTACATTTTGTAACCAGATGCTGTTCTTAACATACACTTCTGTTGTGAACTGTAGGCAAGACAGGTAATAACAAGGGTAATGTTTGTTTTGTTTTAAGTTTGATTTTATTTACAGTGGTTCTTACTAAAACACTTAAAATTTTTAATTCTCTTTTTGCCTATTCTCCAAAAGAAGTATCAAATAAGACATCCTGTCAGGTCTGACCTTTTATCAAATAGAAGAATTCTGCATGGGAATTTTACCTTTGAAGATCTTTATACCGGTTAAAATCTTCAAGTTCGATTGTTGTGATCTTATTGTCATCTAAATGAAGTTCTAGTAGACTGGAGGGCAATTCTGATGAAAAACAAATGCATAATATAAGAAAAATAAGCCAACTTGTTTTTGTTGGAATATTTATTATGCTCCAAACAGCTGCTTTCCTTTGTGTTTAGGATTGGGTGAAGAATCTTCTGGGGGGCAGGGGTGTGTCTGCATCAAAGAAATGGCTGTTAGATACAAGTATGTTACTTTTTTTAATTAAAAAAAATCATTAACATAATCTGGTTTAAAATAGTAACTTTTCTGAAAAAAATAAGATGTGAAAGTGTGTATGGTAGTGTGAATATTTCAGAGTTCCAAAATTTGATGTAATTTGCTAGCTTTCTTTATAATGGCTTTCATGTACTTTTGGTTAACTCGTCATAAATGTAAATTGTACGTTATGTGTAATTATCTAAGAGCTGGTAGTCAAAATCCTACTCCTGTGGAACCCTGTGACAGTTTTTGGTAGATATTTTCCTCACGATGTAACAATTGTGCTATTACAGCCCCTAAGGTGATCTGGGAGAGAGGCTTTCAGCACTCTCTAAGGGAAAGGAGATTTTTGGTATGCTCTTTCCTGTACTGCTACGCAGAATGTTTTCTCATGTGGTACCAAATGGTCACCATTCAGAACTGCCAGTGAATGGGCCAGGAGGTGGAGAATGTTTTTACCATCTTCTTTTAGCGAGGGCAGGCAAAGATAGTCACAAGTTAGAATCTCAATTTGCTGATCTATGTTCAGTTTTCCCAGCATTTGTCTAGGTGGCACCCTGACACCGAGCAAGACAAACCACATATATCTGTTACTAATGTGGCTTAGGCAAGCAGTGCTCCCACACTCCCAACGGTGCTAGCTGTTGTAGGGTTACAATGCTGAAGGAAAGGGACATGCTTTACAGTCTGGCTTCATGCCAGTTGGCGTGCTTTGGGGGTGTGTGTGTTTGGGGTTTTTTCCAGTTTACAATTCTGCCAGGTGCTGCTTGTGTCTGAGTTGCAGTATTAAGAGGGAAGACTACCCATCTGTCCAAATTAGATTTGAAGGTGCATTTTGTAAGTTACATTTTTTAAAAATCTTTTTGTGTCATTGTAACATTTGCAGGTAGAAGGATCTACTCTACAAACTTAGTTTCCATTTGTGTAGAGTGTGTTCACCATGAAGTCCTGCTTATGATTTGTCAATGTATTTGACACCACATATTGGACCGCTGTTTCCTTATAGGAGATCTCTCTAACAAAGACAAAATCTGAATCATTTTATGTGCATTTTTTTTTGTGCTAAGTGACAGGAGATAGTATGATTATACTGGAAGAATGTCTTTTTGTGTGTGTTGGAGAGTGTCACCATAGGCAGCCAGATAGTTTCAGATCTTAAAATTACTTCAACAATTGAACTGAATTGGTTTTGTTTGTTGAGTTTTTAGTGTTCTCTTCAATGGGGATGCTTTTGCATATATATCTCTCTCTACAAGAAGACATTACATTTAATAAGAAACAGGTTCTTTATCTGAATGATCCAAAAATAAATATCTTACGGGCCAACATTTAGTTTCCCTGTAAGTTAATGAATGATATAATATACGGTATTATGCTTTGTTTCCTCCGGTCTTCTCTTAGCTAGTTGTTCTGAGCAGTCGAAAATCATGAGAATTTGGTTAAATACTACGTTGGTCTACAGAAAACGCAGATAGAGTGTTGTAATGAGTTCCTTCGTGCTACTTTTTTGTGTGTGGATGTCAGTGATTTGTGAAGTTAGTATTTCTATTTATTGCTACCTCTAAATCGCATGTCAATTGTTTTATATGAAGGAGTGACTTCATTTTGTAGTATGTTATGCTGACTTTAATTAAAATGTTCATTTCACTTAGCAAAGCGCCATCAAAAGATGTATAAAATGCTGCAATGAGTTTTGTATTAAGGTGTAAATTTATGCAAAGTTATGCTGCAGTGCATATTTGAGCTACAGAGTCACTTGAAACATTCCAAATTGAAGTTAGAGATTTTGGGTTTTCATTTTAGGTGTGTAAAGGAAGTGATGATTCTGTATCCCTTATGACCCAGACCAAATACCAAGGGGTTTGTTCTTTCTTTGTAAGGATTTTTGAGAGGCTGGTGTGAAAGATGTGAAGAGACATCTCATTATCATTTTCTTCACATTGTTTCTCCTGAGAAGAGTCTCTGGGTGACTGAGAGGAGCAGGCTGCCTGACAGGGAGAAGGCAGGAACGGGGCTGGAGAGCGAGCATGTGCTCGCACGCATGCGGACTTTGGGGATGTAGGGTTGGATACTAAGTACAAAACGAAAAATAAGGCAGGAGGAGGTTTGGTAGTAATGAAAAATACAAAGCAGAATTTATGAACGTTTTAAAAATCATATAGATGTTAAAGCATTTTCTTTAGGAGTATCTGATAGAGGTAAAACAGAAAAGGTAAAACAAAGCATACCTTTAGGAACTGAAGTTAATTTAGCTTCTGCAATTCTTATATGGTAGATATTTACTCCTTCAAAAGCCCCCGGCTCTATTCCACCATTGTCAAGCGGATTTGCACTCATTTCTGTCCAAGGGGGAAAAAAGAAAGTATTTATGGCATAGGATTTTTGTGTGTGTTAGACCAAGTTATAAACAGCTGATTTAATTTTATTTCTAACTTCTGATGTTCTGTGCATTAATTAACGTTTCACTTTGATAACGTATTCTGAGGAGTGGAAGTCACAGCTTTCAGTGAATGAAAGCTGTCTAACTTGGCGTGCAGGGTTACCAGAAACTTGACCTACGCAGCAACTGCAAGTAGAAATTCAGTTGTGAAAGAGAGTTTCCATAGCATGGGTATATCTCAAAAAGGAGTTTGCACATTAGGGAAAGATTTGAACGAAGATTATGTATGATATGTTTCTATAAAGATGTTTTCTAGTTAATTGGACTTACCTAAAACATGTAGAGACTTCATTCCTTGAAATGCATCCTTGTGGATTTTCTTAACCTTATTAGCATGAATTCTGAGCTCTGCTAAAGTTTTTGGTAGGTTTGTTGGAATCTCAGTTAGCTGGTTATGGGACAAATACAGTCGTCGTAGCTTCTTTGTTGGTTGAAAAGCTTTTGGATGGATCTTGGATATTTTATTGTTGTTCAAAGCCAGTGCCTATGAGATATGGGAAGAGCAATGCAAAAAAAATATCCCTTTATAGGAACGTTACGATTATGAATTTTAGGTAATGAATTTGATATATCATTTAACAATTAAGTATTAAAAATATTTTGATTCTCCATCATACCAAACTTCAGCACTTTGTGTATACTCTGGGCATTTTACTTGATTGGGAAAAACAAAAAAGACCCTGGAAGCTGGACCATCAACTAGAAGGCAGGGAAAAACTAGGCAGAGCTAGCAAGGTGCCAACAATAATGAGAAGAATTGGGAAAACAAGTCTGTTTGTTTTCATATATTTTGTGGGATTGTATGGGGGTTATATTCTTTTTTTATTGTTGTTAATGCAAACAAATTCTCAAAACTCAGAATTTCATCTTTTATTTCAGTGTAATGCTGCAAAATAAAAGTTGGGTTTCTAATCTGAATTTCTTAAGGTAATATCTGTATACAACTAGTATACACACATGAATTTATCTTATTTCCCATAATTTTTCAACTCATGAGAATTCAAGTCTCTTGACTGTACAGTACACTGGTGCTTTTTTGGGACAGTTTTTTATTCTTGGTTACTATGTGTTATCAGAGAACTTGTAATGAGTTACTACAAAATATGAATTCTTTGAAATTATTTTGCGTGTCAAATCGCCTCTCTGCATTTCCATGTCTAGAGCATTCATTTTTGTTCGTTTTTTACTTCTTTGAGCTGTTGGTAAGTCATCTGCTTTTTGGCATTTGGGGGGGGGAGTAGAGCAGAGCACTACAGGCTTAATCTTTGTTTCCCAGAAAAAAATGGGGATATCTTAAGGAAATAAACAGGAAATGCTCCTTCCTAATCCAAGTTGCCATCTGTGCCTTTGCTAAACAGATGAGGACTCAGACAAATTGTACAAAGTAAACTTTGCTTTCAGTAAAAACCTTGCCACAAATTAACTGATGAGAAAAATCAAAACAGCTCAAAAGTTGTCAGCTGTCACATAATTAAGTGGTTACTCAATATATATGTGATGATTGCTGATGTATTCCAGTGACTTTCTCAGTCACTGGAAATTAATTTCTGTATTATCTTTTGGGCTGAATATAAACCACAGTTAGTGTGTTTTACTTGCTGGGAAGACCATTCTTTACCCAGCCGCAAGACACTTAAGAGGAATTGGAAACACCTTGTTGCAAACAATTAATTTATATGGTTCCTAATTTTTCTATCCTAGCTTAACCCATGCTAGTTAACAAGATCATTAATAAACATCTAGATCCAGTAAATTTTCACTTTTTGTTGAGAAACCAAATATGACTGAAAAGAATTTGGTTTACATTGTTTAATGTGTGTTTCATGTTTTTTTGATGTGGAATAGAATGTCCTTAATTTGCTATAACTTGTGGAACAGATTTGTCATTTTTACAATGAAAATTTTTAAATTGTCAATATTTGTTGATAATGCATCTAGAGTGATATCTTATGGAAATAAGTATTCCAAAACAGATGTAATCTACCTTTCCAGGCTTCTGAGACTTTCCTGTTTTCTTTCATTATTTAAATCCTGTCTGTATGTGCGTACCTTCAGTAATTCAGTGTTGGTCTGTTTTCTGTTCAGGTCGATTGGATTTGTGACATTAGTTTCAGTGGTGTATTTGTTAGTTGTATGCTGTGTGCTTTTGAGAATACCCTCGGAAAATATTGTTATAGTTCTCCTGTGAGATTAAGTTCTTTCTGCTATTTTGCAGATAAGCAGATAAAAAAGGAGCACTTGTCTTGCAGATTTTAAATTCTAGGGAGTGTTTCTGTGCATGCTAAGGACTGAATAAATCATAAGGATCTTTTTGGTAAGATACAAATGGTACATTTCCTGGATTTTGTAGGAAGTAGCATAGTTCTTACAGCCCAAAGACATTTGCTTCTTACTATGTGTGATCTGTCAAATATGCTGGTGTTAGACTGTATTTTTATGGATATTATTGGAGAAGAAAAATACCATTTGTATTTTTAAAGTGTCAAAATATTTCAAATTGCTAAATAAAATTTCAAATTTGGAAAACAACAAGCTTACATAAAGTGAAGTGAGTCCTTGGAGATCGTTTTCCTTGACCTCTTTAATTTTGTTGTTTTGAAGGTCAATCATACGAGTATCTGGTGGAATGTTGCGAGGTATTGATGTCAAACCTATTTAAGTATGTGACATGAACAGAAACATTACATGCCTGTATACAAGTCCAAAGAAAAATCTGCTAAACAGCAAAACACAGTACGATTGTTGATGATTATGATGGGAAAGACAGTATGAACAGCCATAAAGCAAAGGATAAAAAGGAATATTTGATAATGAGAAGAACTAATTATGTAACAATATATGACAAAAATGTGTGGATAGTTTCAGGAGCAACTGTTTCTACCCTGACCATGAAAAGCTTGAATGGGGTGCTCATTGCAGCTTCTTTGTATCTGTGAAAGAGCAGCCTTGGAACACAGGTGGTTCTCTAGGGAAGCTGCTGAAGTCCCTGGTGAAAGCAGCCCTCAGAGGATTTGGGGCTGTGGTTCTGTGTTGGAGGAACAGGGCAGTTGCAGTGGCTTTGAGGGATTTCTCTCAGTGCTTGAATGCTCCTTTCTCTCCTCTGTGCTGCTGTGTTGGCACGTTTGCTTCTATAGACATACAGTTAACATCAGGGCTGAGAAATGTATTCTTGGTAAAAGTGAGCGAAGGATGGTCTTCCAGCTGCCAGCACCTAATTACCAGTTGTATAAATCCCCCAACCCAGTTCACTGTTCAGTTACCAACCCCCTTCAGTTCATGCCATCTGAGATCCTGAATAGCAGAAGACATTAGGAAGGGATAGTAACTTTCTTTTCAGTGGAAATGCTGATGCATCAGATGCTAAATGCTGGTCCAGTTTATTCACAATTATTCCATAATTAATAGGTTACACTTATTTAAAGATCAAGTCTATTTTTTCTATGTGTGGACTTAAGTCATATGGTTTGCAATCTGTAGACCAGATGCAATAACCACAGTTTATTGCTGTCAGCAAATTTTAATTTGATTCCTTAATAATGACATATTAAAAAACCAAACGAAAACAGCAATTTATGTATTGACTCAATGTTTCTAAGACATGAGAAGTCTAGGCATAAGTTTAGGATGGTGGCAGAGCTGTGATGAGAACGAATATTATTGTCGCTGTGCTACTGGCAGGAGCATAGTCTTCCGATTACCTTGAATCACGGGAAAACGTCAATGAACACTAATTCAAACTGGTGTGATTAATAATGATTTCGTATTTAGGGACTGGTGTGTATCTGCAACAGTGACAGTAGCATATTTGCCTTTGGTTAAAAAAGTGATGTGCACTTCAGTGGAAGTTAAGCTGAGCAAATAGGTTATATCCCGTTTATGCATTCGCATTAAACTTCCTTGTGATTTATTTATGGCCCCTTTTTCCGTTGTTATGCTTTCTTGTCATTTGACCTGTTGCTTTGTAGTTGTGTATGAAGTACTTCAGCCATAGTCTTTTTTGAGAGAGAGGACTAATAGCTTGTCTAATGCGAACAGGAGATACAGCAAACTTTTGTGCTGCTCTGTTTGGCTATAACTTCATGCAAGTAAAAGAAACAGGAGAAACTGTAATCTAAAATGTAAATATACGCATTTTCACATTCTGTGATTGTTCTTTTGGTGGTTAAAAAGCTGTGCGAATTATTACATACTTACAAACCCTGATCAGTATTCAGTTAAATAGTTTTACAGTTATTTGTTACATCTTCTAAGTGCCTTTCTGTTCTGTCTTGTTATCGTTAGAAGTCATTGCTAATGGAAGGGGGCTATAGCAGCTTATTACTTTTCTGAACTGTTGCAATAGAACTGGGAAAACATTTGTGTTGTAAAAAATGGTGGACACAGATTAGTTGCTGAACACGAATTAGATATGATTTGCAAACCTAACTGAAAAAATGTAAGCTCATTTTGAAAATGTCTAGTACAGGAATATGCAAATGTATGCGATTTATGGAGCCATAGAATTCATCTCTTAAAATGCAAATCCTCCAAAGGAGAGTCCAGTGGAGGACAAATTCGTTCTTACCTAGGTCAGAGCAATGGACGACTCTCACGTAGCACTGGCATCCAAATGGGCATATTGGGAATAGATCAAAAGGAATTAGTGGCATAATTGGTTCAGTGGTTGGAAATAAAGAATTGTCATCATCATAGTCATCATCGTCTTCTTCCATATCTTGGAGCATCATATTCTTTAGTGTAAAATACGAAGGACCAATGAGAGGTTTGGCAGAGCACAAAGCCAAGAAGAGAAGGAGCGTGTATTGTTTCATATCTTCTTAATCAGGATAGCCGATCTTGAAGAGGACATTAAACAAACAAACCCAAACACAAGAACTGGTGAATGTCAAACAGCAAATAACGGTATTGAACTGTTTACTTCATTCACTGCTACAGTCTCTGGTCCTGAAAAATGGTCTGCTATGAATATTAAGTTTTAATTAGTATATGAAAGATGAAGAATATTAAAAATAGTCTCTAAAATACGAACTATTATCATAAAACCATAGATTATAATAATATTATTAAAATATTGTTTAAGTGAAATTCAGTAGGCATGCATGTTATAGCAAAGTTTTTTGATTGAGTTTAAAAAATAGTATCATCATTTGCTTCAAGCTTTGAAGTGTAATTTTTGTAGTAAATTTTGCCAGAACTTGGAATTGTATTTATTTTATTCATTCTTGACAGAAAAAATATTTTTAATAGGATACATGGGCATATGTGCATTACTTGTGTCTAGAAAATTGGGAAATACTTGATTACTGATACATGAAGTTCAGTCATCAGGATACTCCCTAAAGACTTGTTATTCTACTACCTGTACACTTCTAATTAAACTCTTCTTATTCTAATCTGTAAAAAATAGCTAATTTTCAGTTCTGACAACAGCTTTTCCCATATTCCGGTCAGGTGTTTACTACCGCTATTGATACAAGTTCACTTCTGCAGGCAAACACATTTGTATTGACTATTTGATGAGGACTCTTTTCTTTGACAAGGGCTTGCAGGTTATGAATCTGTGTCATTTGAAATCAGTAACTTAAATTACATCTAGAAAAAAGCTGGAAGCCAGTAGTTTTGTCTGCATATTTTTTCAATAAACATGGGATTTTTTCAACCTAGCTTTGTCATCATAGGGACTGTACATGATAGCTAGGCAGCCAGCTGATAGGAGATGAAAATGTGCCGTGCTGGAATTTAATGCTGTAAAACCCATCAGCTTTCTAGATTACCCATAACTTGAAAGTATCTTTCTTGTGTAATCAAGTGTCCTTTGTCCTGGAAGACAGAAACACGTTGGCTCAATTAGGGCACCTTCAAAGCAGAAAATCCCATGTCAGATAGCTACAATTATTTTTTTCCTGATGACATTGAGAAGAATACACAAGTTATGAAGGATTTAAAAAGTAAATTTGTCTTTAAAGAATACGTCAGACTGTCTCATTACAGCTGTTCATTCACTTCGAGTCTGCCTCTTAAGTTCTAGTTTTACCAGATTTTTTAGCCACACCTGACTGGGAAAAACCAGGAGTCCAGCCTTTAACTACACTGCAGTGCATTATCTGAGTAATGGTGATCAATAGTTCAAAACCCTTAGATATTTTCTACATACCCTGGATTTATTCTAAAGGTGATTTTATTGACCAAATACTCCTACAAAACTAGCCACAAGGGAAAATAGAGATAGTAAGAATTGCCACAGGATGTTTTGCAACTCTGTGAGAGAAGACTGTGAATTTGGCCCTCAGCTCTACATGTTGCCCTCTGGAGCCCAATTCCGGAAGTCGTTCGGAACCTACAGCACGCTGTGCAAACCAAGAGGGGCGGCTATACATTTAATTATACGTATCCTGTTTCTAAAAATGTTACTATTTAGACTATCATAGACCTCTTTAGGCAAATACTAAACGGATGTCAATTCTTCTTTGATCACCTAATTAAATGCTTGCTGATCTGTTTATAACAGAAAAATGTCTTTATGTAGGCAATTATGTCATTGGTTCTCAATCACAGGAAGAGGAGTGTACTGGTTTGTACAAGCATGTTGACTGGCTCATTCAAAATGCTGAGGTTTTGTTTGTATTGCTTTTTTCTGTACGAGGTCATTTTGATGTTTCTTGTATACGGTTCTTAACAGCATTAAAATGCTGTGTATGGCATATATTGCTTCTACTATTACTGTATATGTTTCACGGTGTATGAAAAGAAAAAAAGCTAACAGTATTTAGATTACATAAAACTCACCCTTTCGAAAAGCATGCAGTGACTCCTTCCCCTCAAATCTGTCTGCAAACAGAAGCACAATGTACTTTGTATCTTGCAGACATGCAGCATATAACTGTAAGTTTAATATTTATTGTAATCTTCCAGTCATACTGATTTGGGGAGTAGTGTGTACCTTTTACTGATTTAACAATCTCTTAAAAGAATCTTCACGTATGTTTTTTCCCCATATATTTTCCTTTGTGTTCAAAGTAATGTTCTCTTTCGATGCTTCTAGAAAGAATTTTATAGTTGTACTTGCAGTCCTATACAATGTGTTTTCTTGAAAGAGTCTTTGAATATGAACAGTGCTGGGAACAAGATGTGGAACCTACATTTGTTTGTTTGGAGAGAAGTGTGGTCATGCCTGGCTGTACACCTTTGGAATATTTTGCCCTTTCAATCTTGTATTTCAGCTGCAGCAAAACAGTCAAAATGTTCAATGCTTCAGTCATACTGTTAGATAAGAGATGAGGAGTTTTAAGCCTTTCAGACTTCTGAGTTCTCCTTATTCTTGAACAAGTGTTTCAATGACTGGGTTTTCACAGATGGGCACTCAGGCTGTTCTTATTTCCCTGGCTGCTTAGGTATTAAATGACAAAACACTATGTGGTTTATCCAATGTTGTTGTAGAGTTTCTGCATGTAGAATATCAAGTGTCATGGCATGTCTCATGTCTTGGGACATCTAGTTTCTGTGTCCCTGCTGACTTCTATTTGTGTTGGGCGCTGGATGTATAGTTTTAGTGTATCTATAAGATAAGCTTCCACTGACATTCCTGAATACTCTTCTGGATCTGGTGCTAGCAAGTTGTTTTATGAAACAATCTAAAAATCTGTTTCCACACTTGCACCTGTAGCAAATGGGTTGCGTGTTTCCTTTCAGATAATCAGAAAACTAATATTATGATTTCACACTATGGAAAGGTTTAGGCTGTGATGGGAGTAGTGGGCAATTTGAACTCTTGAAAAACATGTGTTGTTCACAAACAGTTCTAGAAAAGTTGTGCTGAAATATGTGTCGTCATGTGTCGTTCCCCCTCACCACTCCCTGAAAGAGAAAAAGCCCTTGCTTCATCTTCCCACTTTGCCATTAGGAAATCCTTATTGCTAATTGGCTTTGTAGTTACGGATGGTAATCAAGTTTGACTCCAGGTTTGCATTTGCCAAAGAAATGCCAAAGAGTGGGTTCCAAAGAATTGGAGTTTATGGAGGTTATAAGTTTATTTCCTGGCTGAGGTTTGGAGTTTCCCAGTAAACAGATGTTGATATGTCTCTGTAGAAATGCTCTGAATCTGCAGCACATCTCAAAGACCTTACACAAACTTTCTGTGTGCTTAAACATCAAGAGTAAGAGAATTAAAAGAAAATGAAAGCCTAAAATCCAAGTTCCTAGTGATCTTTCTGGAAATACTTTAATTATTTTGTCACAAGAATTTTCTAAAGTCATTATTTCAGAAAGTGCAGTTCATGAATACAGCTGTACTAATGGTCCACTGCTGCCACTTAAGGCTGGTTCTGCTCCCCAGCCCACACTTTCAGTTGTTTCATACCAGCTCTTCCACCCAGGCTGTTCACTGAGTTGATTGAACTCACTAAACCAGCACAAAAATGTGAGCAAGAAAAAAAAAATCCAACACATTCTTTCCGAGTGAACAATCTGAATCAGAGTATCAGAGCCAGTGCAAAGACATGGGTGGAACAGCCTGGTTCAGGGGGACGGGACATTAAATGGGAAGAGAGGGAATGCGAAGAGGTGGGACAGCCACTCTTGACACGTGCAGGCTGTTAGGCAGGCTCGGGTGTTCTGCTGGACAGTACCCTGAGCCGATGGACAAAGTCTGGCTTTGTCCATTCTCATGTTTACAGACCGGAACATTGAAGCTGAATTGGAGAAAGCGTGTAGCAAATTCAAGGAGGGCTCACATACTTCTTTGTTACACCTGCTTTATAGCAATCCTGCCTTTCCTTCCATACAAAAGGCTTCTGAGTAGCACGTTTTCACTGGAACGCTGGCCACCCCAAAGTGAGGTGACTGAGTGTGGAGAGTATGCTTTGCATGCAGAGATGCTGTAAGGCTGAGTTTCTTTCCTGAAGTATGTAACAACCCTAAAATCGCTGTACTGATTCTTTGGGACATACTTATCCTCACTTATGTAGTGATCTTTACCAAAACTCACCTTGCCAAACAGCATGTGGAAGATAGGAACTTCTTATGCTGTTAGTTTAGGATAATACTTGTCATTTATAACAAAGTAGATGCAGGTGCTGTCACAGTAAGTTCATATGATTAAAACCTTTTAGAGACTGTGTGGAAAATTCCCATGTAAGTGTGCAATAGTTCTGTGATGTGAAAGTTCTAAAGATGAATTATGGGAAGATAAACACTTTTCTGTGAGGATAGAAGTTATGTTGTGAATATGGGATGTGTGCATGAAAAAAGAAAGTCTGGATTCCCTGGCAGTTGCATGCCAGTCCTGCAGCATGTGGTTACTGTTGCCTTACCAGTTATGACACTGAAGGAGTTAATAGGTAAAGTTTTAAAACTTAAAAGGATTCTAAATTATATTTAGAAATTGCTTCTGTTACTGGTGTACGGAGGCAAATTTCCTATGGCATTATTTCTGAAAAGGAAATGTTTAAATGACACAGTGGTGAGCTTTACAGAGGAAAAGAAAAATCCCCGTGTTCATTAATAACACGAATCATTGCTCTGTGCACAGATTTTGTCCAAAGAAAGGCAAGACCATAGCTGTTTTGAAAGCTATATTTAAAAATAGTTCTGGTTCTATTAGTCATTGTCCCATTCCAGAAATAAAAGGAGTTTATGTTTAACTCTTTGTCTACTCTAATGATTTACTTAAATTGCTTAAGAAAACGGGATATTTTATGGTCAGTAAGACTACTGAAGAAATTATTCTGTCTTGAGATATAGTCCAATACTGAAGTTATGTAGTATAATAATGAATAGCATGTTTACAAAATAAGTTCTGTTTAGAGAGTATTTACTTCTT